TATTTGTCCCAGCGGATGGGGGCGACATCACGACCCGCAATCTTGCTCAGTTACCTCGTGGTCAAGCCGGGAGAAGGCAACTACAACACCTATGTGAGTGAAGTTAGTGGAATGCACGACATTGATGCCCGTGATTGGGACCGGTGGTGCGAGTATATTTTGTACAAGGACATCAAGCGTGTTGGCTATGCCCGGGTCAGCAGGGGAACCATCACAGACACCGAGATCCAGGTGAGCGCACATTGAGACACTGCTTTACTTTCGACTGGACATGACTGACGCAATGCAGGTTGGCAAATTTGTGGTTGGCGAGCCGGTTTCATATACAGACGAGAGGATTCCAGAAGAACAAGTCCCGCCCGGGCGAAGGTTTCCAGCATTGTTCCGTGGCGAGGGTGTTCGTGGACATCGATACCACGTCTTCGATGAACCATGGTATTATGCCTAAGGAGGATTTATGTGCTGGGGATAATCCAGTTGTACTGTAGCGTGCATGATAGGCCCGGAGCCTAATATGATGCGACCACAAACACGCCGCCTTGTTCCGCTGTAACCAATCACAGTCTTGTTGGCGGTGGGTCTGATGCATGTCTTATCGTTATCGCGAACATAATGCGGGGTCACTGGAGCGAGGCACCCGCAGGCGGCGCCAGGCAGTGGCCGGCATCATTACAGCAGCATCATTGATTGACTCGAATAGTGACTCGGGCGGTGACTCAATCTGTCAACGTGACCTTGGATGATTCGCATTCAAGTGCCCTCCCCCAACCCTTCTTTTAAACACGTTACGACCCTTCTTCCCAGTCCACACCACTCTCATGTACATCACATACAGGTAATCACTTACAGGCTGGTGATTTCCTTTGCTGTTATCGGAGCTCGGTGGAAGGCGTTTCTATAATCCTCTTCACTTGCCTTCACTACTAGGCCTTGTCGACTTCCGCAGGTGGTGTGGTTATACAATGGCTGATTCCTCTGCTCCTCCTCCTCCCGGCTCCCGTGCCATCAAGATACCTTTGCATCCCGGTAATTCTGGAGATTACTCCCCGTCGAATCGACGTCGACGAAGTGAACGCTACCTCCAAAACGCGGAACGAGCCGATGCTTCAGATGCTGGACCATCCTCGTTAGGCTCCGGATCTGACCAAGATACGCCTTGGTCCTACAGTCCTATTCTCACACGTCCTCAACATCTGCTCCATAACATTGCTCCCTCATCGGGCGAGGGGGTCCGTCTGCCTAGCTCAATGCATTCCAAAGACCAGCCCACCACATCACAGCGGAAAGACAAGCACAAGGCTGGCTTACCACCGCCCAGCAGCATGCCAATGCTCTTTAACGCTTCCTCCTCTCCACTCGGTCCTTCGATGCTCTCTTCCTCCTCGTACAAGTCCATTAACCTGAATGCACATCACGACGATCCCGACGAGCCTCCTCGACTGATCACATACACAAAATATAGCCAAGGGTTTACATGGAATGATGAGTTGTTCTTGCCGAGCTATATGCTTGGACGCTATGGGGAGCGGGGTCGAAAGAAACTCTACGACGGAGACTTTGGAGACGAGGACCACTGCCCAGTGGCTGAGATCTTTGTAACGGACGAGGAGGCGGAGGCAATGATGCCTTGAACACATCCGGGGATGAATTACTCGAGAATATGATGTACGAACCGAGCCATGATACACACGACAGCAATGTCGGTCCGGACGGCGCCTCAGGACAGGAGCATGAATGGATGAGTCCACGTTGAAGGGTGCTTGATTTTGGGTTGAATTTTGACGCTGGGAAGGATAGGGCACATTCTTTTGGATTTTAGCAAGACTATGCTGGGAACACACGGAGCTTGGGGGATTTGGATAGGCTACTGAACCCCTCCGGGCACAGAGGAGGGACTGATTTCTATGGGTGGTTAAGGCAGTAAGGATTATCTCGACTCAAGACACCAGCGCTACTCCGGCCACAGGGAGGCGTTTAAGGCCGTTCAGAAGGCTGGACGACGGGCTCTATATTCTATCTCTTGTGCAACGACTCCCTCGTCCGAGCCATTCTTGTAACTAGTCATTAACACCGGAAGTGATGTATATTTTCACACTTGATCTGTCTCGGGTTTCGCTTCCCTTTTCAACCAGTCTCAAACCTGTATTCTTGACCAACGCATGCACATGCAAGTCCTTGCAACATTGGGAGATGCCCAGATGCACTGGGGCCTGCGGATCAATTAGGCCCGGCGCAGGCACCTAAGGCGCATCCACCGGTGTCACCACCCGCCGAGCCGATGTCAAAGTGGGCATTTATTCTCTCCTTAGGCGTAATGGCATTCCTATCCTTGTCAGTGATATTAGCTCTTTGTCGAGTTGTATACATCCTTGATCTGCCGGTCGCTATTCAGTCCGAGATGGTGTCTTTTCTCCGTCAGACCATGTCATTCTTTTCTTCCAGAGGCTCGCCGCATGCAGGGCGTTAGTGAACCTGACGATTCTATCTGCTCGAACCGAAACAGCGCCAATGATACGTCAAAATCTGCAACTGAGCCCATGTACCTCGTCTCACTTGGCGATGCGCTGGCAATACGGCCTCGACTTGCATGAAACAGGTTGTGAAGGGTACATGCTCCCACTGGAACTCCCGCCCAGCGAATGACTTGTCTATCGACAACCACGTCCATTCGGCGGAGGGCCGCTATGCGCTTATGTGGGAACCGCTATGTCCCTACTGTCTGAGGTATTTGATGGTTTCAATTACCACTTCGCCCACCGGGATAGTGAAAGACAACGTCTGTTACTTACCTAACAGCTTCCTATCGATCAGAATCTGTTATTTGGCCGAAGCACTGGGTACGAGGTCACCAAGACACACCTCTTGGGCCTGATGCCTATCCTTTGACATTAAGGACACTACTATCCATTTTTCCAAGCACACAATCGGATCACGGTAGCCGGCTAAAATGGCTGGGGATCTCGTCTCACTCGTTAATGAGCTCTCACAACTCACTAACAACTACGTGCCTACCACAGGCCATGATGCCGCGTCTCTCGCACCAAAAGCGGCTCTTGTCAGCCTCACTAGGAAGATTATGCATTCTCTAATGGACCCTGGAATGATAGTACAGGCCCACTCGTTGCAAATGGCCGAGTTGGTCTCGATCCGTACGCTATTGGACCTTAAGGTGTTTGAGAAGATGCCAGTCGAAGAAGGAAAGACCATCAGCGCGAAGGAGTTGAGTGAGGTATCCGGTGTGCAGGATGCGCTGCTTGGTAAGGCTTCTGTTCTGCTTTGAGTCTCTGCTGGTGACAAAGTCACCATGATCCCGCCCGAGCAGAGAAGGTTAGTTGGTTAGGGGGTGAAACTGACACAATGGTGTCCAGAAAGACTACTGCGCCCTCTGGTTGCTTCGGGGTTCATAACCCAGTCGTCCAACGATGGCACCTATGGATCCACCAAGTTCTCCCAGGCGTATACTTCTTTCCCCGGAATGTTCTTTACCTTGATGTTTGACCACTTCCTCCAGCCCATGACGGACCTTCCTACATACCTAGCAAAGCATGGGGCCGTGGAGCCGACATCTTTCTACGTCAATCCATACTCGGACTACCACAACGCAAGCGACTCTGGATTGACGACGTGGGAAATCATGTCCAAAGATCCGGAGAAGTTGAAGACATTCCAGCTGGGGCTGAAAATGGGCGACAATTTGGTCCCCATTATTGGATACTACGACTTTAATCAACTGAAATTAACTGAAGAGGAGTTGCAGAAAACCCCCGACCGAGCCGTTCTGGTGGATATCGGTGGTGGAGTAGGAAACACCCTAAAGAAGATCCTGGACGAGTATAAGGAGCTTGATCCCCGAGTTGTGGTTTTACAAGATCAAACGGATGTGATAGCAATGGCTGAGAAAGAGAAGATCCCTCCCGAAGGAGTCAAGCTGATGGAGCACGATTTCTGGACCGAGCAGCCCGTCAAAGGTGAGTCCCCTGGGGCCAGGACAAAAACTAAGAGGCCCTACAGGTCTGGATTCTTGCTGTTCTGCCGATCTCGAGATTTGTATGCAAGCTGGTGGGCTGCATATCTGACTGACTGATCCCGCACAGGCGCCAAAGCGTATTTTTTCCGACGAGTCTTCCACGACTACGGCGACGAACTCTGCGCTAAAGCGCTCAACCAGGTTATCCCGGCCATGGCGGCCGACTCGCGCGTCCTCATCGCCGACATGCTCCTTCCAGAGATCATGACGGACAAGGAGGCCCACACGGCCGCGCTGGACGTCGCTTGCATGGTCATGGGCGGCAAGGAGCGGACCGAGGCGGACTTCCGCAAACTGTTCGACAGCGTCGGGCTCGAGGTTGTACAAATCCACCGCGCCCCAGCGGCAGCCGCGGGCATCGTCGAGGGGAAGTTGAGGGCGACGATCTGAACTGAGATGTTGTATCGTGGCATAGCCGATGACGGGGGATCGCGCCGCGAGGACTGGGCGAGCTATATAGGGGTGCGATTCGAATGCCGCTGTCAGGAACTACGAGTAGTTTTTGCTTTGGGATCCCCAGTTGCATATCGACCATTGTTACCTTCACAGCTGTGACTGAGTACTTGTTCTTGATATAGTCCTGCTCGCTTACAAGCAATTTTTTTGATCCTTTAGTTACTTGATCCAATCCAATCCAATCCAATCCGGGGCACACGTATATGATGTATCAAGAGTGGACACTGGGAGTGTATACATTAATGTATACCCTCAAGTCCTGAGACGTCCATATCGCCCTATATGTAATCCCCCCCTTCTCCCTCCCCGTTTTCCATAGAACTCTGAATCCCGGATATCTGTTCCCTTCACGCGGTGCTGTCTCATACATGACCCGATACGATAGGATTCACATGCATGAAATTAGGATGACAGGGCATGAGGAAGAACAGCAATGTAAGTCTTACGCAACTGCGGAGCAAATTTGGGGAGTGGGCAATTGCGGCTATTGCCACGAGGCCGTTTATTTCTTCGAGCACTAGTAAGAAATCTCGTCGTATCCTTGATCCGGGTTGTCAAAATAATAGGTCGAATCTCTGCCGTCTCCTTCTCGAGTAGAAAACCCGTTTCCAAGATATGCGAAGCGATTATGGTCGAACGTGGTCCATTCGTAGTCCTCGTGTCGGACGCTGTCCAGCATGTGGAACCAATGTATCCGGCTTCCTGGATGGAGGGCCACGACCGGCCCGTCGATCTTGCCGTTCTTGAACCAGGAGCGACAATGCGAGCTCCACGCCGTCCGCTGCATAAACTCCTCTGTGTGTTGGGTGAAGTCCTTGACAGCCTGTTGTTTCGGTGTCACGGATTTGATTCCCTGGGTCTGGCATTTGTGAAGGACCCGAATGATGTACTTGGTGGCATGTTCGATGATGGGGAGGACAGATCCGTGGCCGATAGGGGCGTTTGGTCCTAAGAACACTAAAACCACACGAGATTAGCCTCTAGAAACTTCAGGATAGGTAGAGGAATGGGGAAAACATACTAAAGTGATTTGGAAAATTGGGAACGGCCAGCGACAAATACGCTGCGGGCTTGTCCTTCCACTGTTCCCCGAGGCTGCATCCGTTCTGCCCGAGGATGGGATATCGGGGACAAAATGATATGTCAAACCCTGTTGCGCATATAAACATGTCAATAGGAAGGACTTCCCCCTTGGAGGTCTTGATCCCCTCGGGAACGATTTTCACGATGGTGTCTGTAACGACTCGGACATTCTCTTTTGACAGAGCTTCAAGGTAGCCGTTGCCCGGGGTCGGTCTTCGGCAGCCAACGCTGAAAGTAGGTATAAGGTACTTCAGCAGGGGCGAGTCCGCGCCTAGCTTTGTCTTCATTTCGTTGGTGGAGAAAGCGAGAGCTTCCATCTGCTCAGCGCTGTCCTTCATGATCTGTGGGAGAGTCAGAGACCGGGCAGGGGCAACAAGGGCTAGTGCCATCACCCACGAATTTGAAGCGAGAATTGAGCTCCGCCTCTACCTCTTTCCGATATGCGAGGTAAGACTCGGGCTGTAGTTTAAACTCCTCCTTCCGTTCAGGAGTAACTGTCATGCTGTTAGAATGTGTGGTTGATGGGTGCCGTCCGTCTTTCAATCATTCTGGCGCATAGAGGGGGATATGAACGCCGACAGGGAGGGGATTAAACGTCGGACGCACACTTGAAGTTCTCTCCATTTGGCCCAGCTTTACTTTGCGCAAATCCGGCAGTTATCCAAGTCGGGGTTCGGATGAAGGTGATCAATTGCTCGACATCTTCGATTCTTGTCAGGCGGCCATGTAACATATCATGATATGGCTGTTCCCTTACCTGGTTGAATAGCAGGCACAATCTGCACTCCCGAAGAGCCACAGCCCAGAACAGCAACTTTCTTGCCTCGCCAGTCCGCATTTGGATCCCAAGCAGCACTGTGCAGCAACTGACCTTTGAATGTATCAAGGCCAGGAATATCAGGCCACTTCCAATTGCTTCGACCGACGCGTTAGATAAAAAAACAGGTTTAGGCGCAAGAAGGATGTATACTTAAGAATCCCCGATCCGCTGATCAGAAAATGGGCCTGGTCGTCGAAGACTCTGCCGGTAGTCAAGTCTTCAATTGTCACATTCCAGGTGCCTTCAGATTCGTTCCACGTCGCACCGATGACTTTGTGACTTAGTCGAATAAACCGATACAACTCGTACTTTTTGGCTAGCCGTCGGAAGTACTCGAGGATCTCCGAGGCAGGAGAATAGCTGCAAAGGAAACCTGTCAGGTGCTTTTAAAAATGGGAGGGGGGGTGGAATAGTCGGAATGATAACTCACAAATAGTTCCATTCGGGATATGGCTCCCAAGTGAACTGATAGTTGTGCGAAGGGATATCACACGCGCATCCAGGATACTTGTTCTCGTACCAAGTTCCTCCTACCTCTGGATTCTTTTCGTAGACCACATGATTGACATTGCGCATATGCTTGTTGATCTGGTAGGCTAAATTCAAACCTGATGCTCCCGCGCCCACGGTGATGATCCGTAGCTCCCGGGGTTCCCCCAGCCGAGTCTCTTGTATAGTGTATGGACTGTTGACATTGGTGGTGCTGCCGAGACCGTTGCTCGATGGAAGGGAGCCCATACTCGTCGGTCGTCCCAGTGGAAGGACTTGTCAAATGCCTCCATGGTTCCTGCCGGCGCAAAGTCCCTTTTAAGCAAACACCATGGATGGCATTGAGATTCTACGATCTCAGGAGGCCGGAATCTCTAGTACAAGGTACTATAGGTAGCCAAGCCATATAACCGAGTCACCAACACTTCGGCTTCTTCAGATAGCGTCACTTCGCCCGAGTCGCCTCCCTGTTCCAACAGACTGTGAACACTGGTGTTGTGTGCGCTGGGGCTAGTTCCACTTACCCCGTGGGCGCCCACAAGTTCCAGTTCTCGGCCCCACGAACAAGTCCCTGACCCGGATCCGAGCCCGGATCCTGATTAGTACGAGACCACCATTGACTGACCGGCATCAGCATAACTATATACCGAGATTTCCTCATAGAGAAGTTGATAAGTGCGGCTTGCGCATGGCTGATTAGGATCCGAATCCCAAGAAACAACAACTGGGCATCAAGACCGACACTGTCTGTCCACCACCAAGTGGTGTCACCTCCTCGGTTGAGTCGTTGCTTCCCTCCAAACTTGGCATCTCTCTCGAAGCACTTCTACTATCATCGACTTACATTGCCCTTCTCGCACCCTCCATCTGCCGAGTTGGGCACCAAAAATTGTGCCAAGTGACAGTCCTGTCTGCAAAGAAAAAAATGTCCTCCCAAGCATCATCAGAGCCGTGGGTTGACGCACCGGGCTACCGCAGGCCGTCACGACGGGCAAGAATTGCATGTAAGGCTTGTAACGCTCGGCGCGTGAAATGTGATGTCGCCCAATCACAGCCCTGCTGGCATTGCAGGAATCGCCAGATCTCGTGCGAATTGCTGGTATCGCGGCGGGGAAAGTACGATCCTTTGATATGAGTCACGCTTCAGTCGATTAACGGTGGTAGATACGAGAGAACTTCACGCGAGGGAGCACACCCGACGCGCGCCTGTGTGGAAGCTGATCCTGCGACTCCACAGGTTCATCACCCTACAGCTGATGAACAGAGGAGACAGTCTGAGCAGAGCCCTCAAACCTATGATGAGGGTAGTGGCCATGGTCATGGAGGAGAATCCACGATAGCTTGGACTGAGGCGCGCTTGACTGATAGTAGTGGACGAAGAGCACACGACATGCCTGAAATGCTTTATGCACGCATGACAGAAGACCCGTCAGAGGCCAAACAGATTGGGCTCGCAGATGGCAGTCGGACGCTCTACCTTGGCGAGGCTTTTATGCTAACATTCGTCGTGAAAACGGTGTGCAGCCCCTCAGGTCGTCTTGAAGACGCTACAAAGGTCCACTACCCGGTTCCACCATCAGTCGATGATGGCAGTGAGCATACGCACGAACTGGGCCGAGATTTGGAACCTGCAGTGCTCGCCTTTCTGCGATCCCAGGGGGCATTCGTCGTTCTGGAGCAGCAGATCAGTGACGAGTTGGTCAGGATTTTCTTTTCGTCCTTACACCCAGCGTACGCCGTGTACGATCGCAGGGACTTCATCAGGAACTACCGATGCGGTTCGCTTTCCATGCTTGCTCTGCAGGTGGTTTACTTACTTGCTTCCACCATCGCCCCTGAACAACTTCTGAAAAGAGCTGGATTCTCGACACGAGCATTCGCCAGAAACACATTCTACCAACGCGCAAAGACACTCTACGATATGAACTATGAGAGAGACAAAACGCAATTGGTTGCAGCATTGTTCTTGCTTGGCTTCTGGTGGCCTAAACCAGAGGATCCAAAGGATAGCTGGCACTGGCTGGGCTGCGCCATTAGTTTGGCTCAGACCCTTGGAATGCACCGGTCAACAGTCCTTTCTAACCTGGAAGCTCGATACCGATCTCTCTGGAAGAGAATATGGTGGGCCATCTATACTCGAGACCGCCATGCTGCTGCTGCCCTCGGACGGCCGTTTCGCATTCGTGACGACGACTGCGATATCGAACCACTCTCCCCCAGAGATTTTGACGCCGATATTGTCTCAGATGATCCTCTTATCTGCACGCAGGAAGGATTTCACGTCAGCTACGCGATCGAAATGTCCAAGCTGGCAGTTCTGCAGGGACAAATCCTAGCTCAACGATATTCTCCCCGGCCCTCATGCATGATAACGCAGGTTGGGACCATCCCAGCCGAGCTTCGAGAGTGGAAAGCACGTCTGCCAGCCACATGGCTACGCCAGCCGCTCAGCAGCTCCCTCGATAACTCTTTTTGGGCCTCTATGCTCTTCGCTGCCTACAATTACGCTCTCATTCTCCTCTACCGGCCAACATGTGTACTTGACAACACTTCTGCCGAGGCAGAACATTTTCTCAAGGCGACGTCTGCCGCCGACGAAATCACCCGCATTGCCGAAGATCTCCTGGCCGCTGGCACTTTGGGCCGGGCGCAACTTCACATGGTGCCTTGTCTCTTTGCTGCACTTGGGATTCACGCTATAGGCATTCGTCGAAAGGACGTCATTCGCGGCAAGCTTGCTGAGAATCGCTCAAGGCAATGCATGCTCGCTCTGAGTGAGCTGGCTGAACACTGGCCAGTCGCTGGCTGGATTCTCCGGCTCTTCATTAGCCTCATCATGAAGCTAACAGGAAAAGACTTCGGATTGGAGATATCATCGAATTGGGCCATCTCTCAAAGTCAAGCTCCAGGAATGAACATGGATGAACTCTCAGTCACTCGAGGAACTTACTTGGATTACCATCAGTCTGACGCGCCCCATGCGTCGGCTCTCTCACCTTCAATGGGCGTGCAGATACAAGACATTGGGATGAACCCGCAGGCAGGCGTGATCCAGGAGCCACTGAGCCAGCCATCGGCTTTCACACCTCTCGATCTAAGCTTTTATGACTTTGACTTTATATTCCAAGATTCTTTGGCTGGTTTTGCCGGCCAGAATCTGTCCGAGCACATTGACAATATTTGTGGAAGTACCTAAGCGAGATCACCTCCTGACTCTTGTGGCGCCGATGACAGCAAATCTTCTCTTCTGCCTCTTGTGCCTCTAGGTCTCTGCGGCTTTGAGGAAACACTCGATATGGCGAAGCGCAATTTTGGAATTTTCATATTGGTCCGGGGAAAATACAAGTGTAAAGCCGTGCGGGCTACCGGGGTAGGCTTTGAGAATCGCGTCACCTCTAGCCATCATCCACCATATGGACATGGATATCTAACTGTAGCGTGTTATCGGTCGTTATGCCAAGCTGAGAAGCCGTCGGTTATTAAAGTCAATTACGCCTCTAGCCAACCTGCAGGCTTGCCCACCTATTGGTGTCCACCTCAGTCGAGGCACCTTCGGCCAAGAAGCAACTACTCCAGACCGTATATTCGACACTTCGGCTTCATGGACCTGCGGACGACAGGGATGCAGGCTGCTGTTGGAAACTTGGCGTCGATCCAGCGACTCTGGGGGTCAACTGGGGGACTTGATTGCCAGTCTTGCTGTCCCAAGGACAAGAACATTTCTTATTAAAGGTCCCCCGAACCTCAGTTCACGGGGTCGCAATGCATCCATCACCGACCTTCATCACCGAAAAGGCTTCCAGATCTGTAGTAATCTGGCATAGCAAAGATTACACTACCAACCATGACTGCCGGTGAAACGATCATGAACGACAAAGCACAGACTATCTCTGTCGAATCCACGTCTGACCATGTCGGTCGAGATACCAGCGAGAGAGAGAGGATCCTGTTGAGGAAGCTGGACGTTCGCATCATTCCAATGATAATGTGGATGTACTTGATGAGTTTTATGGATCGAGGTGAGGGAAATCCCCTTGTTTTGTCCGTATCCAGTCCATCATGCTGACAAGTCTTTGTGGACAGTAAACATCGGCAATGCTCGATTGTATGACCTGGAAGAAGATCTCGGCCTTGTCGGCGACCAGTACCAACTTGCAGTGTCTATCCTCTTTGTCACATACTGCGTATGCTCTGTTCCTGTCTGATGGAATCATGTCTTTCCTCCGCTGATACGTGGTAGTTGTTTGAACTCCCGTCGAACTTGATCATCAAGAAACTGCAACCAGCGAGATATCTCGCCTTCATCACTTTCGCCTGGGGTGTTGTCGCCACCTTGACCGGCGTCGTTCAGAACTTTGCTGGCTTAATAGCTTGTCGTCTTCTGTTGGGTCTCTTCGAGGCGGGATTGTTCCCCGGTTTGGTGGTGTACCTTACCATGTTCTACACGAAGAGGACTTTAGCCCTTCGTACCGGCTACCTCTTTGCAACCGCCGCCATCGCGGGTGCGGTAGGTGGTTTGCTCGCCTATGCCATCGGATTCATGGACGGCGTCGCAGGCATGAACGGCTGGCGGTGGATTATGATCATTGAGGGCATCCCGACCGTCATCACCGGCTGTGTGGTATATTTGGTCCTTCCGAACACTCCCGAGACCGCAAAATTTCTATCTGAAGAGGATCGCCGACTGTTGACCAGTATGCACGACCGAGAGGTCGGCCATAATGCCAATTCTCGAGAATTCCATTGGAGCGACGTTCGCGCCGGGTTGAAAGACAAGACCATCTGGCTGTTTGGTATTGCACACTTCTGCCTCCTCGTGATGCTCTATAGCTTCAACGTTTACCTCCCTTCCATCATCAACGATATGGGTCAATGGAGCCGCGCCGAAACCCAAGCATTGACGATTCCAATCTACGCCCTCGGCGGAACTGCATATCTCGCCGTCTCCAAGATCAGCGACAACATCCAACGGAGAGGAATCTTTATTATCGGCTTCCTGTTCATATCGATGACGGGATATGCCTGTCTGATCTCCAACACCAATGTCGCCACAAGTTTTGCTGGATGCTTTTTGGTCGCCTTGGGCGCATACACGTCGATTGGACTCCCCGTAGCCTGGTTAGGGTCAAACTATCCGCGCTTCGCAAAGAGAGCCACTGCTTCCGCACTGCAGCTCACCCTTGGGAATGCTGCCGGAGTCGCGGCGCCGTTCCTCTATACCACGCCCCGTGCTCCCGAATACTATCTCAGCTACGGTGTCAACATGGGCCTGCTGTGCATTTCGATCTCTATCTACACCTTTCTCCTGTTCTACTGGCGTCGAGTCAACAAGCGGAGGAGCGAGGGAAAGGAAGACTACAAGCTCCAAGGCAAGACTGAAGACGAGGTTGAAAATATGGGCGACGATAGCCCTCACTTTAGATTCACGATCTAAAGGCAGGGAGGCCGGCCGGTTCTCGAGGAGCATGGTGGTGGTCGTGGTGGAATGCACAGAAACAAAAAAGCGAGCAGAGCTCTGTCGCCTCCAAGTTCGTGTAGGGGATCAGGCGCGGGAGTTCTCCTTTGTCTCCCGACTCTCTGCTGGTGAAGCACTCTGCTAGCCCAGGTTGAGAAGAGAGGACTATCGTGGTTATTTGGGGCCACCTCGTACTTGCACGGGTGTGTGCGAGGTACTAAATATGAGCACCAATGGCACCCAAATGGTAATGTTGGGAGATGTTTACATCTCTACAGATCGTCTGGATAAATAGCGCCTTGGCCATTGATCCCCTCCCTTTACTTGGTACAAGGCTGCACACTCCTTCATAGCTACAAAGGCCGACACTATTCTCTCCGGACCATGTCCCGGGCAACCATTTGAGAATCACCCCGCTCGCTCAACCACTGGACCATGCCCATCATCTACTTGGCCTGGGTCGGTCTCGGGGCTGATCGGCATCTTCATGGCCGTGCAGACCCTACCTGGTCGATTGCTACCCTGTCTTCTCGGCCAGCGTGCTGGGTGCCAACACCCATCATACGGTCGCTCGTCGGTGTACTGCCTCCTTTAGCCGGACGTCCGCTGTATTCGCGCCCGGGGCCTCGGCTGGGGGAACTCGCTGCTCGCTTTCCTGGCCCTTCGCCATGGTGCCGCTGCCGCTGTTTTTTTATATATATATATGAAATGGGGCGCCTATTTCGGAACACACCCCAGATTCTCCAAGTTAATTTCTAGAGTCGACAAATTAACCAGAAAAAGTCACAGGTTTTCGAGTGGACTGATTGGCTATTACCGCCAAATCAAGAGGGGAAAAGGTATGTCACCTTCCCCCCCCCCCCCCCCAAAGCAGTGACTAAAAGTAGGGGGCAGGGGGGGAGAACACTCTCAGTTGGAGGGAAAAGAAACAAGGTCTGAAGAATACAAAGTATGAGAAAAATGAAAGAAGATATAGTCTCTCCATCACGCACTTGTGCTTTGAAAATTGAAGTCGTCGAGAGACTAAAACTTCATGTGAAGAAAAAGGGGCGGTTCAGCCTTGTCGTTGTTCAGCACGTGACCATATAATCAGTCCCCGCCTAAAGTACACACAGATACAGTCTGCTCTGCACTCTTGAAGCCTCTATCAGTAGGTCTTTATCCCAATCGTATTCCCATGAGGACTGGCATAGGAGGAAGAGCAGGGAAGAGACGCTAGACGTGCCAGGTGGGGAGTGACGATTGCTCCATATTCGGTGTGTCTCCATGGTTGAGTGCCATCTTCTGCCAAAGACTTGATGCTAGTGTCTGTGTTTTTCATTGATATATATCAGGTCACCTCGATCCGATTTCTATACTGCACTTTGCAATACTGTGTGGTGTGGTTTGTTACATTTGCATCAACGACCTCCACTCAGATCCGACTTTGACTCAATACAGCTTGCACCTGCGCATCGTAGGTACTCCCATCCTCCACGTGTAGTCCTGGGTCGATGTGGTCCGCAAAACGGCGAATGTTTCTCGCAGCATCTTCCGACCGAGGAGTTATTCTGCATTTGAACGGGGCGCAACCTAGGACTGGAAGTGCTCCCACTAAACGAAAGAGGGCCACTGTTAGCTCGAGCTTTCCGTCTTCAATTCCCGACATGATCCCGTGACAGAGGCTGAGAAGGGAGATTTAAAGAGAAGCCAAGCCACTCTTGCATGACTCACCTGTTTCATCGCTTGGAGGAGGGTTGTCACGTTCAATGTCAAAGGCCCACAGAATCCGGCTAATAACAATGAACAGGCTCGAGTCCGCAACATGCTTGCCGGGGCATTCTCTTCTCCCGAGGCCGAATGCGAGGTGATTGGCCGTCTTTGCACCGTCGTGGACGTGCCGTGGGTCTTCGGGCGAAAGCCACCGTCCTGGAAGAAACGCAGACGAGTTCGCAAAGTACTCATCCGAGTGATGCACAGCGTACGTATTCGGGATTACCACTGTGGATTTGGCAATGGTGGTGCCGCGGTACGTATCGTCCTGGGAGGTGGCATGGAAGAACGCCAACGGTGTGACGGATGCCCATCGATGAAGTTCCGAAACCACAGCTGTAATGTATGGCAGACTTTCCCTGTCACTGAAATCGGGCAAGCGATCTCTCCCAACGACAGTATCCAGCTCCTTTTGGGCTTCGGGAATCCACTCCGACTGTATAGCACACACCTTGAAAAACCATTGCAAGGTCGTTGCTGTCGTCTCGCTGAAATGGTCCACGTAAGCGCCCAATCATTAGACCAGAGAAAAGCGAACATTTGTGTGAGCCAGAAGAACTTACGTGCCCGCCGTGAGGAGCTCGGCCGCCACAGTGATCCGTTCAATCTCACTCAGATGCTGTGATTCGGGGTCTTGGATAAATCTGCTCAGAAAGCAGTCCGGCGCAGTACCTTCCTTAACTCGCTCTTCGATAGAATGGAAGAAGACGTTCCAGAAGTTGCGCAACTCCCGATGAATAGAGTATGCTTGGGACCTCCAGGGAGCAAGGAATCCAGGCAGATAGTCCAGGAAGGGGTAGAGGTCGACAACCCAGGCTCCCGGCGTGATATCTTGGGCTGATTAGAGTCTGGATCGGTCACAGTAGTCCCAGATGTCTCGAACATACTATTAAAAAATTTCTGCATCATTTCACCAATTATCCTGTGATGCTTTTAGCGCCGAGTGGACTTTGTGTCTGAACCGCGCAACCCACGGGAAGGCATCGTTGAAATTGCAATGGAGGAGCCGACTTACGTAGGGAGGAAAGCATCCGAGCGGTCAAAGCGAGCGCCAACTCTGTGGGAGCAAATCCCAATGTGTCAGGAATGGTTCACGACTCCAGGTCACGATAATAAATTTCTTTCAACAATCATGAACCGGCACTTACAAAAGCGAGAACGTCACACTGGCCGAGTACCGCGACATTTCCGAGTAGAAGAGGTCAGGACTGTGCAGCAGGTTTCTCAGAGTTTGGCGACTCTCATACTCCTGATAAGGGAGGAAGATCTTTGCGTTCTGTATTCCGAGAAGTGTATGGATGATTTTACGGTGTTTCTGGGTTGAATCAGTTCTCGTCAACCTGCGTTTCAAACTGATGTAAGATAGGTGGACAGTACCCTGAACTCTTCTCCATATGGCATATTCACAATCCTTGCCTTCCCGGTAATGATGTCTGCCTGGGACGAACTCGTCGGGCGCGAGCTGTAAATGTGACCCTTCTTGATCAGTAGCTCCTCAATAGCTTGCATGCTGCTGAGCACGATTGCCGTAGAGTGACCTATCCGGTATGAGAAGAAGTCTCCGTATGTTTTTGCCCACAGAGCGAGGTAGAGGTGAAGTTTGGTGCGGCGGTCTTTCTCATTGAGAAGTACTCGAGGACCGTCTGGGAGGTTAGACTTGGTGGACGGTCTGAGGGCAACATAGACAACCAGGAGAGTAAGTAGAAGGGCTAGAAGCCAATACATGGTGACTATCGACGTCTCCTTCAAGGGTGCTCTCTTCAGATTTGTTGCCCCTTCTCGCCATAGAGGTGTTACCCCTTATATACCAAGTTTGGTCGTTATGAGGGCCACCCCATCAACGAGCGGTTGACCGTCCTTCACCGAGGAAAAATCTGTTTACAGTTGCTCAAGTAAGCCGGGATTGACACGAACACCGAACAATAGGGTTATATTGAAAGCACAGAGCAGCACTTGAAGCGACTTCGATGGCGGTCAGCCGTGCAAACAGCAAACCAACGATCGACCCAAACTTACCTCTTTGATCTATATCATCGGGTCTGGGAATCACCAAAATAAGGCCCGATGCCGAGGATCGATATGTTGGAAGCCATTGTTCAACCTTCCCTGGAGGTGGAAATCATTCAGTCCCCAGTCCCCAGTCCCGGAGAAGGGGAACTTTTGATCAAGGTGATTTGCGCGGGGTGTAATCCGTGAGTACCCAGACCTAAAAAAGCACATCATCTTTCTGAAAAGAGCCGCTCTCAATGGTGGAGAGATCCCCACTAATGAGACATTCTGCAGGAAGGACTGGAAATCAGTGGCATACAGCAATAGGCCATCCAATTCGGGAGACGATATAGCGGGGATAATCGAGCAGGTTGGGGAAATGGTAGTCGGTTTCCGGAAAGGGGATCGGGTTGCTGCTCTTCATCAGATGCGCACAGCCCACGGCAGCTTCGCAGAATATGCCATCGCCCCCGCGCATACAGCTCTTCATTTGCCGGACCACGTATCTTTCGAAGAGGTAAGACGAATGAGACCCTCGGTTAGGCCACAGCAAACAGGCTGATCCTTTGTTTGTGTGGGCAGGCAGCAACTATCCCTCTTGCTGTATTTACGGCGGCTGTTGGGCTCTACCACTGCCTGCAATTGACACCACCATGGGAGCCGGCCACCGTGCCAAATCCGCTCATTGTCTATGGCGCTTCGAGCGCTGTTGGGACCTTTGTGTTGAAGCTCGCTTGCAGATCAAACATTCATCCAATCATCGCCATCGCCGGTAATGGAAAGACCGTGGTGGAGACCTTGATTGATCGGTCGAAAGGGGATGTGGTCGTGGACTATCGTGAGGGTGAAGAGTACATTTTCAGCCGGGTACGTCAGGCATTGGAAGAGCGAGGTATCGAATCTGTCAGACACGCTTTCGACTGTATCTCGGAGCATGGATCTCCAGAACTCATGGCTCGATTGCTTGCCCCCAATGGACACGCGACCTTCGTCCTCATCGAGAAGGACTATGGGATTGTGGCTGAAAAGATTCTCACCTCGCTCACTTACGTGGGCTATGTCCATACAGGACCTTTCCCTGTCGATGCAAAGTTGGGCATCAAGTTCAATCCGGGCGGACATGGGCATGATTTTGGAGCCGTCTATTCGAGTGTCCTGGCGAGGGGATTGATGGATGGCTGGCTCACTGCGCATCCCTTCGAAATTGTGGCAAACGGGTTGAGAGGTCTGCCAGTAGCACTGAAGAATCTGCAGCAGGGAAGGGCGAGTGCAAAGAAGTATGTGATGCGTATAGATGAAACAGACCTGAAATGATAGATTTAAAGGGGAGCAGCATCTCAACGCGCAGTCTGGGGCTACCGTTCTTCGCATATTTAATGGCGCCAAACTTGTAGGTGCCTAGGTGTCCCTGGAGAAACAACCTGTGTGGGTTCTTAGGGGCTGCAATAGGCTTGGGTGCGCATTTGTAGCTAGGACAAAGTAGTCATGTGGGGACTTGACGAAATCAATAAGCCGGTCGAGTTTCCAGTCTCCCAACCACGTCAAGTCCGCCAACAGATGCAACAGAAACAGTCAATCTTGAGCTTCCGATCTCGCACCCTTCTTCGAGACTTAGCAAACGAAGCCGTATGATGGTCTGGCCCGTCTTCGGCAATCCAGCTTTTCGGCGGTACAGATGTGCAGACTCCAAGTTCCAGCATGCTACGAACCAAGACCTCGGTTACGGCCCTCCTAGCCAGGGGAAGCAATCAATATACATTTTCGCATACTCAGTGATGCGTGCCAGGCCAAGATGTTGCTTACCCCAGCCTTGTACCTCGGTCATATTGACCACTGTTTGAGAGGGTACGCCATAAATACTTGTCTCCCACTATCTTCGAATTGCTTTTTCCTTCGAGGCATCGACGTTGCGGACTCCTTTTCCCAGCTCCAATTGTGGTGTGACTGGCTCATTTGATTTGAATTTTGAACCTGGAATCCGATGCTGCCCCCGTGGGTTGCGGCTTTGACGCCGTCAGAGCCCCAGGGGTCAAGTTCCCTGGCTGGCGAACGAGCGAAGTCCTCCATTGACACTGATCAGATCGCACGATTCTTCTATCCGGAGGGTTATCTGGAAAGACAGGAGCGGCTCCTCCAGATCCTCGAGACTGATCCAGCTTTCGAAAAGACGAGCAATTACTACGACGGCCGGACGGAGCGATGGAAAAAAGCCCTTGTCAGAGCAAAGCGCATTGCTGCCCTCCAAATCCAATATAAATGGACCGATGATGAGTTGTGGGCAGCCCTTGAGCTGTTAGGCGAAGCGGTCCCTTACGCCCTGCACTGGGGCATGTTCATCGTAAGCCTCACCACCCTGAGGCTGTGAGTGAAGCCTTCTCAGGGCTGCTGCGTTTTGCTCTTAGCACTTTTCTCATTTCTACTGGTGTCGAGGCTGATATGATGATGACACGAAATCTTTGGGTTTTTCAGACGACTTTGCGAGACCAAGGTACTCCGGAGCAACATGACTTATTCCTCCAAAAAGCCCTGAACTTTGAAATCATCGGCTGCTATGCACAGACCGAATTGGGCCACGGATCCAATGTCCAAGGGTTAGAGACACGGGCGACGTGGTGCCCTCACGACAAAACGTTTGTCTTGAACTCACCCTTCCTGACGGCCTCAAAATGGTGGATTGGCACGCTGGGCCGCACGGCAAACTACGCAGTGGTCATGGCGCAATTGGTCATCGAAGGACGTTCTTACGGGCCTCATCCATTCATATGCCCTTTGCGAGATCTGACGTCGCACCAGCCTCTGGAGGGGGTCTACGTGGGGGACATAGGGCCGAAGATGGGCTACAAGTAAATCAACTCGATGAAGTGCTGCCTTTCTGACAAACCATTGACACCTCATAGCACGATGGACAACGGGTTCTTACTCTTGCACAATGTCAAGATTCCCCATGTCAACATGTTGGCCAGGTACCCAACCCCCCGCTTCCCTAGTGCAATCCTCCACACCATGATCGTCGGCCGTTGACGCCGTCTGCTTGCAGGTTCTCGAGGGTCGACCCAGACACAAGCAGATATATCAAGCCGGCAGCCCCAGGGTTGGTGTACGGCACAGTCACGTATGCACGCATGAGAGTGGCTGCGGATGCAGCCCGGGGTCTGGCAAGGGGCACCACCATCGCCATCCGTTACTCTGCCGTCCGACGACAGTTTCGAGCTCGCGATCCTCAGACCTCTCAACCCCTCCCAGAAGGGCCGGAGATGCAGGTTCTCGACTATACCACTGTGCACGCACGTCTCTTGCCTCTGGTCGCAGCAACTTTTGCCCTTCAATTTACCGGGACCGCCATGCAAACCCTCTATCGACTGGCCAAAGAGTCATTGCCAGGCCAAGGGGGGAGTTTGTCGGAGACTCCGAAGGAAAAGGATCTTTTTGCCGAAATGCACAGTACGTCGTGTGTACTTAAGGTGTTTGCGAGCATCACGGCAGCGGAAGGCTTGGAAACTGCCCGGAGAGCCTGTGGTGGTCATGGCTACTCGCTGTTCAGTGGCATTGGTTCTTGGTACGCCGAGTATCTGCCAACCATGACCTTCGACGGCGACAACTACATCCTGTCTTCACAGGGGTCCCGCTATGTGGGTTTTTCCTCATCCATGTGTTCAAAGTCTGTTGGGGAAAACACTGACGCCAGAGCCATTTAATTAGCTGATCAATGCCGCCCGATCTGTCCTGCGTGGCAACGCCCTTCCAGGGTTTACCGTGGACAATCTCCGAGCCTTTCGTCGTCTGTGGGGAGCGACGGTCAGCTACGATCTCGACAACGACCAGGACATTGTCTCGATATTCGGACGGAGAGCCGCATTCTACACCTTCCAGATTCTGGAACAAATTGACGAGAAGCATACTGCCCACAACGAGCTGCTCCCCGATTACTGGAGACTGTGTCGCGCCCACGCCGAGTTCCTGGCCGTCCACCACTTCTCCGTCGAGCTCAAGAACCCACGGACCAACACCCAGCTTGACCCCCAGTCCGCCAACGTGCTATGGGACCTGTTCCGCCTCTTCACGACCGACCTGATCACCAAGGAACCGCAGGGATTCTACGTCTCCGGGGCCCTCACGGTCGCACAAGTCGAGCATCTGTCTCGCAACAACCTGCCCCTTTTGCTGAAACGCATCCGTCCACACGCCGTCCGTCTGGTGGATTCGTGGAAACTTCCCGACTGGCTGCTCGACAGTTCTCTGGGCCGGTACGACGGTCAGGTCTACCCCGATCTGTTCCGTCGAGCCAGCGAGCTCAACCCGTTGAACAAGGTCGACATCAACCCTTATCCGTTCACGGACCGGAATCGAGACCGCGCTCCCGTTGAAGCTGAGCCCACGCATAAGCTTTCTAGAGGGAAACTATAGATCAGAGATGGCGAGGAGGGCAGCGTACCGGCGGGTAGTAGTATATCAAGCATGTTTTCGTGGTCAAGTAGACGAAAGAGATTGAATAGATGTATTTGTCTTTGTAGCGAGACTGTCTTTCTCGGACTCCAACCGAAACACCCTCCCCCAGCGACCAAAGTGGCTATTTTATTTTCTACGAGTTATTGTCTCTCTTGACATGTGCTTTGCGGTCTCTCCATCAGCTATGTATGTACTCTGTTCATATAGCTGACCCTCCCTTACCCCGACACAATACCCTCTGAGAGTGTTGAACAAGAATAGCAAATCCACCTTCTTCTCCACCCTCGCTC